AACTAAAAATAATTCAAAACTTTGGCAAATATATTTAGACAAAGCAGAAAGGAACCTTTCTGCCCATATGGGGATGAACTCCTCTACAAATCAGCAAGGGCCCCAAAACTTTCCTCTCTGATTCCTCACGCTGGTGTAATTGGATGGAGCTGGGGCTGTCCAGCAGGTATAAATCAGTTTGGTAACTGCTCTTGCCGTGGGCACCAGTGTTGAAATGGGGGTCTGCTTCACTGGGGGTGGTAGGCACCATCCAATTAGAGGTGCTGAGATGATCTTGTGCCCAAAACATTTTCCCCAGGGGAAGAAAAGACCTTTTGGGTAGTGATGACTCCGGTTGGGTTTCTAATAAGGACATTGAGTGTGGTACAAACTCTGTCAAATTCACATTGGGGAGGACTGGGGCAAAAAGAGGGTTAAAGGTGTGCTTGGCTCCTGATGGGGTGTCCCATGGGGTGGCTGAGGTTGTGTACCCAGCCCCTGCCCTGACCCGGGCTGGGTGAGGAGCTCTGAGCTCTGTGAGCCAGGCTGTCCTCTGCCACCCCACCAGTTACCTCCTGGGCACGTGCTTGTCACCAGCAAGCTGGTGCAGGCAGGAACAGTCACGGCATTGCATGCCAGGGTCATCCCTCAGAGTCAAAGTCCCGTCCAGAGCCAAAGCCCCCAAAGGTGGGGTTGTCTCTCACCTCCTACCCGGCAGCTTGTGGGCAGTTTTTCCAGGTTTTTCCCCATTTCCAGGACACAGAGCAGTCGGATAATGCTGGCGGGTGCATCACCTGCCTGGGGTGTCCCCAGCTCTTCCGGCATCCCTGAGGACCCTGCATGAACCCACTGAGCATTAATCATCATGTCACATGGCCTGAACATCTGCTCAAACATTTATAACCCCTCTTAATACCTGTGTTGCTCCAGTTGCCTTCGGGACACTCCATCTAATCCATCTGTCTGTCCATGCTTTTAAAGCAATCTCACGAGACAGCCCGGAAACCTTTGCCCTTCCTTACAAAGCCATGGTGCTAAGGCAAGCCCGTGGCTTCGTGCTGCTGCAGGGTCCTGGGGAGCCCACCTGGGCACAAGGATGGCTCTTTGCAGCACTGGGGAGCTGGATAAGCTTTTTGCTGCAAGAGTTTAATGACTCAAGGTGGGGTATTCCCCCAAGCGAGCTCCCCGTTTTAGCAAAGGGGACCAAGCTCCCTCCCTGGGATCAGGCTGACTGCGGGGTTTGCTGCACCCCTCTTCCCCCCGTCACTGCGCAACCTTTAAAACCTGGTGACTCCTGAGCCCTCGGCAGGGGTCTGCAGCTCTGCTCCTTTAATCCAGCTTCTGGAACCTGCAGATGCATGTAATGACTATTAACACCGTCTGGAAGGTCACTGGCAGAGCTCAGATGAGTGGGGAGTCCCAGCACGGTGGGGCCAGGGCGCCCGGCTTGCAGGAAAGCCCTAAGCAGAGGAGGTGGGGATCTGCCCCTTATCCTCACCTTTGAGCCGTCCCAGCTGCCCCGTGAAGCCTGGGGCTGCCCACGTGTGAAATCAGAGGTGGAAGGTGGGAACGTGTTGTGCAAGTCACATTGGGACAGGTAACTCGGTGTCTGCACCTGCGTCCCCCCTCCCGGGGCTCTTTGGAGCCTTTCCCTAATCCCTGGCCAGGCACATCTTGAGCACCCATCTCCGGTGCAGACAGAGTTCACCAGTGGGATCGTGCTCAGCAATACATTGTCCTTTGAGGACATCACGGGGCTGATCTGCCCCTTTCTGTCCTGCCGCAATGTCCCCCATTGTAGCAGCAGTATCATCCTGGGGTCACGCACAGGGCTGCAAGAGGCTTTATTTGTGAGGAGTGTTAAAAAATAGGATTAAAAATATAACTGTTAGGGCAGCAGGGATATTGACTTTCTCTCTGTCTTCCCCCCTCCTCCCCCCCGGTGTCAGATGACCTGAAGGAATTTTTCTTTGCCATGGCAAAGGAAGTCAGGAAAACCACCCTGGGCCCTCTCTCTCCCAAGTGCAGCTTGCTGGCGAATATCAGGACTGTTTTGCAGCGGATGCTACCAGAGGACTCTTACCAGCTGGCTTCGGGGCGGCTGCACATCTCGCTCACGCGGGTGGCGGATGGCCAAAACGTTATGGCATCTGAGTTCAGCTCGAAAGAGGAGCTCATTCAGGTAAAGGGACCTTCCTCTGATGCTGTAGGAAGATCTCTACCTACTGCTTGGGGTGGAGATACCTAGGCATTGATGTCTTTAACCGCACTGTTTTCTACCCGAGATGGAGAGAGTGTCAGGAAGCTCTGCCAGAGCCGTGGTCCCACCACAGTGAGCTCCATGAGGCTTGGAGGGAGGGAGGAAGATGATGTTAGGTCCAGAGTCAGGCAGGAATAAATCATGGTAAAAAAGCAGAAGGTTTGTTTCCAGCCTCAAAAAGCTGATGCCGACATGTTGGCCAGCTCTACAAGTGCTAACGACCCTGCGAAGAGCTGTGTTAATGTTAACATGACCTCCCAGCATTCTGGACAGGTCTCTCCTCGGCCAACAGTAATTTTCCTTGTTGCCTCAGCACTTTCCTGGGAGGAAAGAGCTGGGCAAAGCGTCTGTGCTGCCAAAGAAGCAGCTGATTAACCAGTAAATTAGCTGCTGGGGAAAGAATCCCAGGGTAAAACCCTAACAGAGGTGACCATGAGGTTGTGGGCTTGCTTGTCCCAGGGAGACAGTAGAGGATGTCAAGTCCATGGAGATGTTGGAGTTCACCCCGTGGTGCCTGCCCTAGGTCAACCCAGGAGCCCAGGATGCTCATTCCCAGCTGATGAGATTGGTGGAAAATGGTTGCAAATGGCCCAGCGGTGGCTTTATCATTGACAAAATCCAAGCAGAATGAAAACACATTGTGAGGATGCCTTGGTTTGGTCCAAAACCCCACAAATATGAAAAATGACCTCAAAGCTTCACCTTGCCACCGTCAAAGGGCAGTGTTTGGACAGTGATATATAGATATACAACTCTAATATTGCCGGCAGCTACAAAAATAAAAAATGAAGTGCTATGCCCTTCTCAAGAGAAGTGTTTCAACTTTATTGAAATGAGATGTTTTCCCCTTCTTGGAACCTTTCTTGACACAGTCAAGTGCGAAGTCCAGGTGGTACTGACAGCCTGGCTCCAGACGATTTGTCAAGCCTGAATTTGCAGACACCCAGTCAACAGCTTTTGTCCAGGAGAACTTTGACAGGAACATTTACTTCTCCTCCCCCAGGCTCTCCTCTGCAGCTGCTTTCTTCCTATCTACTGTGGATTCATCCCGCCATCCTACCGAGGTGTGGTGAGTGATATTTCCAATAACACATATGCTCCCAGCAGTAGGTTCTTGGGTTTGAACTTTACATTCCCTTGAGCAGAGAGGGATATATACGTCTAGGCTGCTTCTTTAGTTAATGGAGGATGATAAAGCCTTTTAGCTTGTCCTTCATCCCATCCTAAGATGATAGCTGGGTGGAATTGCCATCTGGAGAGGCCTCTCCTACGGACAGAGCCTGGATGACTAGACCTTGCCTTGCAGATCTCCAAAGCGAGATGAGAGGACGCCCACACTCGGGACTTTGACACACAACCCATTTATCCTGGGCAGGATCTGTCTGCAGTGCAGATGTCTCCATTAGCTCAGGTGCAGACCTGCATGGCTGAAATATTGCAAGTTTGTGGGAGGATCCTCCCCCAACCATGTCCTTATTCATACTCTGTGAAACACCGCAGTGAAGTCAACAGATTTGGGCTGGCTTGTTGCTGACCCTCAGTGAAGGAGGAGCACAGCAGCGTGGTGGTGAAGCATGTGCAGATGGACCACGCAGCAGCTGATGCATCGTGACCCGCTTGTGTGTCAAAGCCCACAAAGCCACGATACCGGATTTGCAGCTGGGATAGAGCTAGGATCCTTCCTTGACTCTTGTTGGTCTGCACTGATTGAGCCTATTTAGTCCTCGGATGTCTGTACCTGGCTGTCAGGTCAGATCTCCCGGACTGCAGGGCTTGCCCACAAAGTGCATAATGTTTGCAGGACCCAGAGCTCGGGGGCATTGCTGCGTGAGGCTCCTCTGCACTGTTATCTCATGAGCATTTAATTCGGTCAGCTGCAGTCCTTGCAACCTCAAATCCCACTGAGGTGGGTGGTAAATTCAGATTCTTCTCGGAATACAGCAAATGACATTTTCCTTGCCCAGTGGGTAATCCTCCAGGGCTTTGCAGGCAATTATTAAATGCGGGAGCCCTCCTGCTTGATCTCAGGACTTGAAATTTATACGACAATGTAAATTCAGGGATGTTTGAACTGGCTAATGACTGTCAAAACAACTTTACAAAGCTTTGTGAATTAAAAGAATTATATTTCTATTTTAATAACTGCTGTGCATTACAGCACCTGGTGGAGGAGCCGGCTGGGTGTTGTAGGCAGGGCAGCAGAAGGAGCTGGCAAAGGCCAGGATAAAGAGCAAGGGGTGGGAAGAAATGCTGTTGCAAGTGGGAAGAGAGGACATGCTGGGACTGGCTCGCGGCAGGGGATGTTGCCTTTGCAGCTGCTTGCTTTCCTCTCGGTGACGCTGCCCCCACGCGCACGCTGTAGCAATCTTCAGAGCAAACCCTCCCTCTGCTATTCCCCCTCAGCGATACGTTGATGGAGGATTCACCAGCCTGCAGCCTGTTTCCAGCCTGGAAGAAGCCGTGATCACCGTGTCCCCATTCACGGGAGAGCTCGATATCTGTCCGCGGGATTGTCCCGCTATCTTCTTCTGTTTCCAGATCTTCAACGGCAGCATTCAGATCTCGATAGAAAACCTCTGCAGGATTAGCTATGCTCTCTTTCCGCCTAGCACCATGGTAAGCCCGCCAGGTCTTCTCCCCAGCTTTGGTTTGGTTAAAACTAATTAATGCTGGACCTGCCTTCCCACGCTTTAAGGTTCAGCTCAGTCTCCATCGTTAATTAATCAGATTTCAGGGGCAGTGCATTTTTTTGGTGGACGCTGCTGAATGGGTGGCCAACCTGGGATGGGGTCCACCCTGGTTTGACAACCTGCAAAGGACCAGTGCTTTGGTAGCTGGAAACCAGTCTGTGCTTGCTGCCTTCCCAAATGGGCCATCCCAACCCTCCGTGGTCAAACAGCCTTGGATAGATCCTGCCGGTGCCTGGATGGAAGGCTTTTTAGTGACCTCACGTGTTTCTCCTTGCAGGTCTTGAATGACATTTTCTCCCAAGGGTACCAGGACACGGCCCTTTTCCTGTACAGGAACAGTAAGTGTTACCCCAAGACCCGAAGGGCAGCCTGGAAGATGACCCACTGCCCATCGGCATTGCATGGCCGATGCAACCGGCCAAACATCAGCCCTTTCTTTTCGTGTCTCACAGATGCCTTTGGCTTTAACTACTTCGATGGCAATTTCCGCTTCGCCAGCATGTGTGGGAAGAACGACTTTACACAGTCCAACGGGACATTCACTAGCCTACGCAAAAGCATACCGCAGCGTGTGGCTCCTTGCTTCCTGCCAGGTAGAGGATTTGGGGTACTGATCTTGGGTTTTGGGGGTGGCTGGGGCCACGGAGGGCTGCTGCAGTCTTTGAGAGGAGAAGTATTATATTTAAGACATTAGTGAGGTATTTATTGTAGTAAATATTTCTATATCTGCAGTAGCCGTTTGCAAAGAGGCTTTGTAAGAGCGGCTCAAGCTGGATCTTGGCCTGGGCTTTAGTACCTACAGGCTGAGCTGCAGCAAGAGTTGCTGGACAAGAGGAATTATTGCATTTATTGGGTTATTTCTAATTACTGGTCTTTATTTACTTCTGTGTTGTCATTCATGGGCACAGGCTTGGCTCTGTGGAGGAAGGAGCAGGTGAATGGACTGCAGAATCCACTGTCAAAGGTCCTGTTGCAGCCATACAGGCTGCCAGCTTTTGTCAGCAAGGGGTAAGAACACTTTGGTAGAGGCATCGAAGCTGAGAGTGATACAGAAACCAGTGGTTATGCCTTCAGCAGTGGCGAAACAGCTGAAGGGACACGCTGCAAGATTAGCACAAAGCACACAGGCGTCCCTGCAAGCCCAGCATCGGGGTATGCAATGGGCCGTAGCATCCTTCAGATGGCAGCTCCATGGGAAACACACGGGGCAGCACGGGCTGGCAGCGAGTCTCTCCTTTTCTACAGACCAGGGCAAGCTGCTGCACGCCTGCTGCATAAACAGGCGTAGCGGCATCCCCTTCCTCTGCAGAAGGATTTGGTATTCCCTAAAGGCGAGCTCTCAGGGAGAGTGGGTATGGCTAGCAGGAACACCAAAGGATCGCTTGGTTATGAAAAAGAGTATAACAGTGTGCATTCACCATTAACACCCTCCCCCTTCTCCTGCATTTACCGGTCATTAAAATCTGCCCGTTTGTTTTGCTTTTGCAGGCTGAAGAAGCTGTGGGGACTGCTGGAAGGTATCAGCTCCATGGTAAAACAGTTCCAGAAGCTCCTCCAAACCATGGTGCCTGGGTTGCCTAAGAGAGCCGTGGCCAGGAGGTGAGGTGCTCTGGGCATGCAAAACCCTTAGCAGAGGGAGGGCAGGGTGCAGAGCAGGGAAACCCCGGGGGATCTCACCCATGGGTCACTGGTGCTAAGCGTGGCTAAAAATTCCTAATCTGGGGTACCCCACATTAAAAGTAGCTAATTTTTGTCCTCGTGATATTATCTATTTAGTGACATCTGAAAGAAGCTATGAACTAGCTTAGTGCTGCTTCTCTGCGGCAACATATTCTTGTTCCAGAGCATTTATCTGCTGGGGTCTGTCCTAGCAGGACATCAGGCATGTTCACCAAGATCCTGAGACATGTTTTGGCACTAAATTCTCAAGGAATGAAGGCATTTAACTTGTCACACACATAGCTTTTAAGCCATACCTCCCTAAAACCTGCTTGCAAGTTACTTCACGTGCAGCTGGCGAAGAGACTTGTACAGAATGATTTCATACTGCAGGCAGCTACACAGTTCCTCAGCCATGAAAAAGCCCTTCAGTATCAAATGTCCCTGGGGCTACTTGTCCCTGTTGGATCATTGACCCTGACGCAACTAACTGCCAGTTTGTTCCCTTAGGTAACCGTCCTGGATGGGCCCTGGGGGTACCCGACATCATGCAGTTCTGCCGCCCCGGGAAGGGGTGGGTGACACCGGAGCTCATTTCACATAGTGGCACGGCTGCTGGTTTTTGTGGAGTATTTTGAGGGTGGTTTTTTCACTTGGGGAAACCAGCTGATTTTGTTCCCAGTGCTGCTGCTGCAGTCTCCCTGTCCAGGTCTGACCTGCTTTAACATGACGGCCGAACCGCAGTCTGCGCAGGGGAGACTGGGCATCTTTACTTGCATGCACGTACAGCCCGGCTGCCAGTTTCCCTAGCCACTCGACTTGCTGATGACCAGCAGCATCCCTCTCCCTGCTTTAATGCAGATTACAGGGCAGACATTTGCCAAGAAATGTCACATTTTAAGTGTTTGCCTCCCATTCAAAAACTTTCAGAGAGATTCATCAAACAGAAAGCAGAGAGAGGGAGAAGCCTTAGGGAGCATCACACTGGGCAGGAACTCATTTTTATCCAGTTTCCTGAAGTTATTTTACCAATTATCTATTCTTGAGCTTCATACACCCTCGGAGGCCTGCTTCTCCTGACAGTGGAGGTAGGCACACATTTGGACCCTCTGAATTTGCAGCTGTGGAGAAGGATGGAGAAACCTAAAAATTAACCTCCCCCTACCTCCAAGTACCACAGTCTTGCAGGCTGCGTCTCCCACTGCACCGGGAGAGCTGACATTTCACAAATACATTCGTTCTTTCCACGCGATCTTTTGTAACTCACTGCTATGAACAGTGTACGGTCCAGGCAAACACACCTCGTGTTGCTGGTCTGTACGTAGAAGGAATTGGCACTCTTATAATCCCAAATACAATTTGCACATCAGAGGCTGACGGATTGGCTGTATCCCAACTGTCTCCCCTGTTTGTTGGTTCCCGATGGGCAACAAATGGATCACAACAGCACAAGCTGTTTATTTGAATAATAAACAGCTTGTTCAATTGCACAAAGGGAAATGGTACAGAGGGAAGTTTCATCCAAAGCACCCTGGAGACTGCAGGCATGAATGTGGGGAATAGCTGAAGGCTGCATTGGTGTAAACAGATTCAAAGTTAACTACGAATGCTCAGTGAAAGATTAATATAATATGTTCTGCTGTCTCTGGTTGAAATCAGTGACCTGGGAATATTTTCTCTGCAATGAGGTTGCTAGAAGAAACCTGGATGCTTATTTGCATTGGATCCATCAAAACCTACTCCTGTCTCCCTTCCGTCCTGGATGGATTTACATCTCTCAACCCCTGCAGCCAAAGCTGGGCTGCTCAAAAACCAGCCTGTGAACCGTGACTATGTTCCTGCCACAGCTCAAAGTGGAGGGGGCGCAGAGACACCCACCACTCCCTGGGCAGGAGCAGGGCCAGTCAGCCCATCATTTGCTTTTGCTCATACTGCGCTTCTGCTTCCCCTGCCAGGCAGACTGCCCCATTTCTGCAACGGCCCTTCTACCAGGCTCCTGGTCTTCCTAGCAAGCACCACCACCTCCAGGCAGGATATAACCTATTGTCGTGGATGGAAGCGAGCGAGACTGCGCTTCACTCGTAAGAGAGAAGCAACAATACACTTGACTGATAGAAAACAGTGAGTTAGAGTTCAATGGTAAATGCAACAGTGGTTTAACAAGATCCGATGGCAGGGTACACTTGATTCTTTACTGCATAGAGGACAGGGTCAGACAAAACTGTCAGGGAGACCCTCCTGGTGATCCATGAGGTTCAGAAAGGACCCCCCTGCTTTCTAGACTCCTTCTCAGAGAGGAGTCTGGGTGCAGCTGGATCCAAACCTAGTCCCAGACTTGGTCAATGGTTTATGTCTAAAGGATTATAGATGCGCAGTTAATCCTTTCTATCACTTGGCTAAGATTTCAGAGTTTAGCATGCTGTTAGCCACTTACCGAGGATCTGCTGCGGCAAGGAATCTCTCAGCCTCGAGGAGTAACCTTGAGAGGCACCCCTGCTCAAGGGGAGGTCCCACCCTGCAGGAGAGCTCAAAGGGCTCTTGGGTTGCTCACTATTTATAGGGGTAAGATGATTGGCTCATAGTCATATCTGCATACTGATAACTGTGGTTAGGTGGGCCTATTTCACACAATAACCCTTGGTTATTGTGTTGTTATCTGGCTCCCCAATCCACTTTGAATGGACACAGCTATCACTATCAGCATCCATTAACAACCGCCCCTGGTAGTTATGGCTTGAGGAGGGTTACAGGAGATAAAGGTCAGGTTGGGCAGGGGAGCACACCGTCACAACTATCCCTATTCAAATGGGATTTAAGATCCCCAAAAGAAAATTCTCATATAGGGATTGGACATCCAAATCCACTAAATTTGTCTGCAAATCTCAGCCACAAACAGAAGCGTATTTTGAACTATCCAGTGCATCCCACCTGCCCTAACACGGCATGGTGCTTGATCATAAAAAGTTAGTAAAACTTTGAGAACTTTAACAAAAAATAGCCTACAAGGCACACCTAAAACAAAATGGTCACAGCAGAGAGCCTTCCTGCTCCAAACCTGCAGAGATGTGCTAAGATGTAAGTATTTAATGACTCATCATTCAAATTAGCTGTCTTTTGCTTTATTAATCCCCCACCTTTTCAAGCAAACACACCTGATGCTGTCTCTGCATGAGCTTGGAGCTAATGGCAAAAGGAGGCTCTGCCAGAGGCAACCAAGAGAGGCAAAGTTTGGCATCTCTTGGCTCTCAAGGAGCTTGTTTCCCCCCTAGGGAAGCAAGCTGGAAAACTCAGCTCCACGCAGTTCAAACCAGCTGCAATAGATCCTGTCTTCAGCCTGAAATGCCTCCTTTAAAGGTGGGTCATGGGACCCACCTGGGGTCTGGGGGGGCATGCAGATAGAAAGGGGGTTGTGGCCCTGCCTGTGCTGGTGACATTGCTGCCACAGCGTGCTCTTCAGTCCATCTTGGTGTCTGTCTGCAGGCTGGGTTGCAAGTTGCTCTTTTTCCCTCTAAAACATGAACCGGGGCCAAAGGCAGCAGCGGGGTCAAAAATGCTCTTCTGTGGCTGGCATGGCCCTAAAGGGAGTAAAACCACATTGGTCAGTTTGACAGACACGTCCGGCAGTTCTTGTGAGACAAACTGGATTCAGATACCTTATCAGAGCTGCTTCCCTCCCTCCTGTTGTCTACAGGGTAATGGGATAAGCAGGTTTTGATATCCTTAAAATATTGGCCCCATACCACTGTCCTGTTGCTTGCCCTGGTCTGCATTGAACTCAGAAACGTGAATCCTGAGGTGGATGGGATGAGAGTTTGGAGACAACCCAAGTCAGCAGGAGCTTTCTCTAAAGCTAGATCCCACTGCAGATCTAGTGGGAAGGGGAGTCCTGGGGCCTGACCCATGCAACTGAGCTAAATGAAAACAAATGTGTCCAATCCTGTCTGTGTCTCTGGCTGTTGGCTACAGGTGCTTTATGCCAGACTCTGCTTCTAGTCTAGATACTAAGGAGGGTGAATCTCATTGTGCAACTGTCCTGGTGGGCACATGGATAAAAATGAAAATGCTTGTGGTTAACCAGCTAATTCAGCCTGAGCCTTGCTGGTGTGCAGGCGCTACCACAGCAGTAGTCCTTTGGAGATATTCTTATTCAGAAAAACAGGTGTGAGTTTGCAGGTTTATACCCTTGCTTATTTGGTAACATCAACAATACTGTAAGTATTGTGCAGATAAACAGTAAAATAGCCTTTTCTTGGCCTAGACCATGAGGGCTTTTCCTTCCCAGACCTGAAAAATCCAATGTGCTTCTCCCCTGGAGACTGAGAGCCCTGGTTTAGCTCTTGGTTGCTCTCTGGCCTGACAGATGAGTCTTGATTCCTTCCACAGATGACCTTAGGTTGGTGCAAAATGTTGCAGCCCAGCTGCAAACCAGAGTCCAAGAGACTCCTTATAGCACAGAGCCTGCCCAACCTCCAAAGGAACCTGGTTCCTACTATGTTGCTTTTAAAAGCTCCATGTAGTTCAGACTGATGAAGCCTTTAAAAAAGCAAGCATGGAAGCAAACTGTACAGCCTAACACTGCATCCTGCATGTCTATTGTGGGTCTCTTCCCATAGGTAGGGTTGTTTTGTTTTTAATGGAAATGTCTTCTTTGCTTTTATTTTATGTTTTCCAAGCTTTTATTTTTAGATCTGGAATGGTAATGGTACTGTTCTTTCCCCTTTATATTCCTCATTTGGTGTGGTCCTCGTAGATAGAGCAGAACAATATTTGGGTCTTTTTTCATTAGTTCTTTAATTTATGTGGCAACATTTTAAACCACCATCATGTTGGGAAAGCGGTGTAATTTTGCCTAAGTTGACAAATTCTGAAATGTTGAAGGACTCAAAGAAAAAGAAAATAACTAATAAAATTAAAAGAAACGTTGCACTCCAGCACATACTTCTTTGTATTCCGCTAGTAACAATAAGACAAACTGGAATCCGAAATGCTGAGGGTTCACCGGTTTTCCATGTCAAAATTGAACTGGGAGAGGGCATTATTTTGCATAGGATTGCAGAAAACTACAAGTTTTGGATTTAAACCTGCCTTACGTTGCTTAAAAATGATACAGGTAGAGGTTTACCTGCAGCTCTAATAAGCTTTTCTTGCACTTAAGTATTTACACACGGCTGCACACCAGAGTAACTAACTAGAAATTTCGATTTGACTGGCACAGCAAACCCAGCTCTAACCATTGAGACACTGCTCCTTCCCTCACCCTTAATGAAATGATGCGTGGGTGGAACCTCTTATTACCTTGCAAGGTGAGTAAATGGCTTTCTTCACAGAAAGAGCTACTTCTCCAAAGAGCCCTTCTGACCTGGCCACAGCCTAAGTCCTCAAACCTCACCCAGAACAAGTTCAGCATGAGGCTTCACTAATAACCATTGACCCAAGAGGGAATTCTCTCTCATTCCTGATGTTCTCACCTACTGGAGCCTGCAAAAACCCAGACAGCTGCTTTTGGCAGTGAGAGCCTTGGGCAAGTGTCACTTAGCTAATGAAAACCGATGGGGTAAAGGAAGTGCTGGTCCTCTACCTTTCTGATGGTGGAGAAGGTGGTGTGGGGCTTCCTCTTCCACTTCATCTGCTGCCCGGATGGTCCCTGGATTCTCCTTGGTGACATCCTCAGGGTCTGTGGCTCTGGAGCGAAGTACTCTTGTTTCTAGCTTGCAGTGCAGGGTCCCTTCACTTTTTTGACATGATTCATTGGCCAATGAAAGCATAAAGTCCTCATCAAGGTAATTTATACCAAATACATCTGGTGGGAAGAGAATCCAGCTCTCACTGCTTGTTGCTCAACTACCAGGTTTCCAGCAATGTGAGGCATGACCGGGATTGACTGGAAGATAGGGGGACTGTTGACCACAGTACATGGCTAATCTGAGTTGGGTTTTCAAGCCAGGGATCATCAAACATTGCTGCCTTGTGCATAGTGGGTTATCAGTCTAACACCACACAGGGCACCCGAGCCTACACTTCTCCTGCCTAGGTCCTGGGGACCTGTGTTCCCTGGAAAGCTCTACCATGCCCAGTGTGGCAGACAAGAGGGGACCTAACATCATCAGAGGGGAAGAGGTGAACAGGGAGCTTCAGGAGAGGCCACAGAGAGGATGGGACTCAAGTAATCCTGGCAATGCCAGGGATGCAGCGATCTCCCTGCCCCGGTCACTCTAGATGCACTGGCAGCATCTCTTACCTTCTGTCAGCAAAACAATGTTGTAAAAGAAGCACCCGACCTACCTGCTCCTCACTCCCAACCACTTACTCAGTCTTTTTAAGAAGGAGACTGTGTCCTGGTAGCCATGGGTATAAAGCTGGTCCAGAACCTGCAGGGGGGAGGTGGCAGTCAGGGCAGATAGGCCAGCTATAGCGGCCTCATGGCTTTGAGTACCTGTAGGAGCAGCTCACTTGACGTTGGGGAAGCTGAAAAATACACTGCAAGCGGGCAATGTTTCTTTTTGATATATATAAAATACAGTCAGAGAGTTGGAAAGTGAAGAAGGCAGCTGGGCTATCTTTGGGACAGATGTCGTATTCCCCGGCGAGACCAGACACGGTGATCGTGGTCCGGGACACGAAGTTGGCCTGCCACATGCTGAGTTCCCCGTCAATGTAACGCTAGGAGAGAAAACAAAGAACCTTGAGCCTTCCTCTTTTCAGAGAGAAGAGTGCTGCGTCACATGTGTATGCATTTGGGGTTTCTTCTCCACCCAGGCCCAAACTAGACTGAGGTACTGGGGCTACAGAGATCCCCTTCCAGGGAACAGCCCTGACCACTGTCCCATGTGCTCCAGGTCTACACCCACCACCTCCTCCCTTCCAGCCGAAAAATTACTCTTTAATGAAAGTGGGGGAAAGTGCAGCAGAAAGGAGTTGAGCTAACCCCATGGACAGGGTGAGGATGGACACTTTTGTGAGAAGGTCGGTTCTGTCTGCAGTGAGGTGAGATTGTGGGGCACCTGGGTTCAGTTCTTCCCTCTACAGACACTGTGTGAACACAGCACCAAGCAACTTTGGTGGCAAACATGGGTATAAACATGCTTAATACCACCACTGGAGAAAGGACACAGGCTAGATGGGCCCTTGGCCTGACCCGGGATAGGGTCTCCAGACCATAAGGCTACTCACCACCCCACGGTACATAGGAAGTGAAAATCCAAAGTACAAAGGGATGAAGCAGCTGCATGTCACAGCCTGTGGATGAGATGGAAAGCACAGAGGTGAGCAAAGAGCCACAAAAACCTGTTGCCTTTGGGAATGGTGACTCATCTGTGAATGCCAAAATGGGGACCCACAGCTGGGTTATTGGGCACCACTGACTAGTGTGGACCAGACCATGTCTGATATCCACAGTCAGGATCGGAGAATCATAGAATCATTACGGTTGGAAGAGACCTCCAAGATCATCGAGTCCAACCATCAACCCAACACCCCCATGCCCACTAAACCATGTCCCTAAGCGCCTCATCTACACGTCTTTTAAATGCTCCCAGGGATGGTGCCTCAACCACTTCCCTGGCCAGCCTGTTCCAATGTTTAACTACTCTTTCAGTAAAGAAATTTTTCCTTACATCCAATCTAAACCTCCCCTGGCGCAACTTGAGGCCATTTCCTCTCGTCCTTTCGCCAGTTACTTGGGAGAAGAGACCAACCCCCACCTCACTACAACCTCCTTTCAGGTAGTTGTAGAGAGCGATGAGGTCTCCCCTCAGCCTCCTTTTCTCCAGGCTAAACAACCCCAGTTCCCTCAGCCGCTCCTCATAAGACTTGTTCTCCAGAACAAGAAGGAAGGTAGGAAGGTAACCTGTGAAATGCCTCATTTTGCTCCCCACATACTCAGGCCCTGTAGATAATTCAGCCAGAAATCAAAAGGGCTGATTTTTTATTATTTTCAGCTTGTGACCCTGTCTGGCTTCAGAGGGTGGCAAGGACAGAAATCATGGCACGGACTACCGTGAGGCCCCAGGCTTTCCCCACGGATGCTGTGGGGCACAGACAAGCAGTAAATCCCATGCAGCTCCTCCCCTCGCAGGGTGGCTGTGGCTGCTCTCACCTGAATGAGGTCCTCCCTCGAGGCAAACTCTGAAACCACCACGCTTCTCCAGTCGTGCAAACGGGTGAGGATAACATGCAGCTTTCCAGATACCAGCTGGTGGGCATTCGTAGGCAGGTATTTGTTTAACATATCCTTTAAGATTTTAATGACTTTTCTTCCAAGGAAACGCCACCAGAGAGAGGCTTTCGTTATACTGAGGAAGGACAGTATCATCTCATCTAAAGAAAAGCAAAGCAATCATTCCACATCCCTTATATTATTATTTATGTACTTTCTGGGCTGCATTTCCACCTGGTAAAGGGGCATTTTACCATGCTGGTAAATGCTCATAAAGAGCCATTATTTTCATTAGGGCTGAAGCTCTCATGAGTGGACCCAGATTTTCCAAGGACCTCCAACATTGCAGGAAGCAGAAGTATCTTGTTTTCTTTTCCTATTTCTCTCCCTTTCCTCCACAAGACATCTTAAAAATTTTTGGAGATACAGGAGAAAATTGACAGGAAGCCTTTGCATTAACATTTCCTCCTGTTGGCTCTGCATCTATGCCCCCTAATGTATTTCTCAGCTCTGTGACTATAACTTTCTTTTCATTTCATGCAACAGCAACACTGATCCTCTCCATATTCAATATTTTCTTTCCCCTCTGTGTTTTGGGAATCTATCAACAACCCCAGATGCCTAGGGAGGGCACTTCTGTTTCTTATATTAGATATGCTTACCATTAATTCAAATTAATAAGATGCAATGACTTACTTAATAACTATATCTAGTCTATTTTCTCTGTGCTCATTAATTTACCCATGTTTTCCACTCTTAAAGAAGTCAATGAAGTAAAATTCTGAGGAATTAACCACTGATTAAGGATAATAAAAAAAAAAGATATTTTGCAACTCCAAAATTTCCAGACGTTCGATCTCTTTAAACACAGAATAAACGGAAGTGCATAGCCCTTACCTATATCACACTCACACAATGCCAGTGTAGCTACAACCGATCCTGAAGATGCCCCATAGATCTTGGATGCAGATTTCAGTATGTCAGGTGACAATTCCCGCAAGGCAGCTAAGACTCCAGCTTCATACATTATCAAGAAACTGCAGCCTCTAAACAGTATAGAGAAAGGCCTTCTCTCATTTCCATTTATCTTCATCACCTCTGCTAACAGCAAGCACTCGAGCCACAAGAAAGCAGCTGCCCAGGACAGGCTCAGAGGTTTTTTCTACAGCCAGCCAATACTTAGCTGTGGCTGTTCCCAACCTGCTGCTGTTTCTGACCACACTCTTGCTGTCTTATATCTCTGTTTGACACAGGTCTCTAAGCCAAACGTCCAGTGAAACAACAGCATTGGGCAGAAGTGGATGACGTGATGTCTTAATACCTAAGGCCACTCATTAAAATAAAATGATTACATTGCAATGTTTCTAAGGTGTGCACTTAGCTGCTGAAGCCCCAGGCGATGTGGAGGGCCACACATCACACTGATGTGTTGGGGAAGCAGCCCAGGGGCGGTCAGCAGGGCCTCAGAAGTGAGCCCTCCAGAGAGAAAAGCTGCTTCCCCAAGCTGGTGGACTGCTTTAGTGGCACCCTGGGGTCCTGGCCTAAGTTTCCAGCCTCTTGGGAGGTAGGAATCAGCAAATATTCCTTGGTATACAAAAGCCTTGCAAGATGCTGCTCAAAACTGTCTTGCCCCATTTGTAACAGGTTACCAAACTCCATCCCAGGGAGTGGAAAAGTTGGAGAAGGTGACTGGATTATTAAAGAAATCACAACCCAAGTTGTTCTCCTAGTTTCACAATTTCAGTGTTTGAGTTTGCTTACAAAATTGTAAAAATACAGAGTCCAGGTAACAACTCGTGG